TGAGTGGCTGCTTTATGTTCCCACGTCCTGCACTGCCTGTCCAATGGGGTGTGCATACAGATCCCTCTTACGGTCAGTTTCATTGGTAAGGCTCACAGCTGCTATTACGCAGATTCCCTTTCTACTCCTGCAGTTGTGAACCTTAGAAGAATAAAATCATGGAATCAGGAAGGCTGGAGAAGACCTCCAAGACCGTCCAGACCAACCATCCACCTACCAGCAACATTTCCCCACTAAACCGTGTCCCTCAGTATTGCATTGAGACATTTCCTGAGCAGCTCCAGGGATGGAATAGTTCTTTTTTGAAGACTTTCACCAAGCAATCTTTGTTTTTGCTACATTTTTCCTCGCTGTTTCTGAAATTTAAAGAAGCTTGCTGTGCTCTACCTTTTGTTAGCGCACAAGAAAAACTGTATAGTATTCATATATGATATTTTAATAACAATTTTTCTAAATCACATTGACAAAGCAAGCTGTTTTGATGCTGTGCATTTAAAACACTCCTCTCCCGTGAGTGGCGAGCAAGGTTTTTTTGACAGAAAAGTGAGGTCCTCCTATTTGAAATGAATGCAGAGAGACAACAATGAGGTTATGTTCTGCTCCCCAGTAGTCGCAGTACTGAGCTGTACTTTTATTTTTACTTTGTATTCTGCACTTGTTGTATTGTATTCTACAACTTAAGCGATGTAGATTATTTCATAAGTAATTGTGAAAATACTGGAAAACAGTAGAGAGGAAAAAAGTAGTTGATATTTGTTGTGAAGCTTTTTTTGTCTTCACCGTACCTTCATCCCTAAATTCACTGTAAGAGCTCGTGAAAATTAGAAAAATGATTATTTTATGAGCTTGCAAATACTTTTCCTGAAGTTTGTAAGGGGTTGAGCACACCGACCAGATCGTTCCTTGTAGGGATGAATTAGGGGCATTTACATCCGAATGCTGAGAGCATGCTAATAAACCTATCCCGTGTACTACAGGAGAAAAGGCAGCTGAATGGAGGAAAGTGCTGCTGATTTCAGTTGCTTATTAATGACGTTTTTCTTTTTGAAAACTTCTGCTCAAACTGAAGTTAATTATTTGCCAGTCATTTTGGAACAGTTTTAGACTTGCATCTTTGTAAATACAAGTGAACTTATTAATGCTTGTCTTTAATGGGTAAATGACAGCTTGAAATAACTCTTTTACTGTTGTGAACTTTTTAGGCTCAGTCTTTCACACAGGCTGCTTTTCTGCATCCTTAATTGGGTGTAATTGCTGTTGGCCAAGGAATACTGGACCAAACTTAGGCCCAGGGTGGGTGAGCAAAGGGTGCTGTTGCCCTGCAGCTGTGATGTGCTGCTGATCTCAGCTCTGCCAGTCTTGCCTCTGCTGTCTCCTACCTCCCTGCATGCTTGCTCCTGAGTTTTCGTTGGTTTGTAATGGGTTGTGCATCATGGTTGATTAGGTACAACGTATACCGTGAATTCACTTCACATCTAAAACATGGGAAGGTCAAATTGGGTGTGCTTTTGGGAAGCTTAGCAGAATTTTTGTGAAGTCGATCAGTTTTTGAAGCTGTATTTCCCAGGAAAGGTGTTTGTTGGATAAATCTTTCAGTCTCTCTTGTTATTTTTGTGATTCATGCATTCAGAGTAGAAATATTTTTATTAATCATTATTAGGCTTTATACTTAAGGGTGGCAGCCTGTGATTTTCCTTCTGGTTTCCTGTCAGAGTTTAAACAAACTGCTCTTGTCTCCCGAGATCGTTCTTTGACTGCTGGAGTCACATGGAGCATTGACTGCTGTTCCGTGTCTGGAACAGCTTGTGACTGTTTACTGGAAAAAAGCAACAGCTACATTGTAAAAATGTGCAGCATAATATCTCTGAATAGCTCTGTTGTTGACGCATACCAAAGTCACCTACTGAACTACAAGCACAAGAAGGTTTCATTGTGCAAGACCAACACGTTACTACTTACATTTAGCAACTTTCTTAAACGTGTGTTGTGTTTGGAAGGCTCGCACCCTGTACTGCTCATTGCAGACATCTAATGGAGGGATGAGTGGTGGGTCCACATAAAATTCCAAACCTGCTATTTAAACAGGCTTGCTGAGGCTTCTGAAAACTGCATATATTCTGTGTTTGTGTGGCAAACCTTCTCCTGCTTTATTGCAGTTATGTTTGAATCCTTCAGTGGAAATCGGTATGCGTACACTGTGAGTTGTAACACTTGTGTTCCAAACAGTTCTGCTCTAGGCACAGAAACTGGAGTGCAAAACAGAAGATCCAAGTGAGGCCAAACAATCCAGAATGTATTTGTGTTGGAAGAAATGAGAATAAATGAAGCTGCACTAAAACAGGATTGATATGACCATGTTGTAGTGTAGCTATGCAACTATGAGGAACAGAGGAAGGAAGTGAGAGGGACCAGCTTTGCTGAAGAAAAAGATGTTTTGGGCATATTTGAAACTGTAGTTGTTCCAAATTGAAGAGATTTGCAAAGGCATGAAGTACTAAAATAGCTTGGTAATAGTAATTGTAATTGGTAATTGTAAATTGTAAATTGTAATTGGTAATTGTGCTTTGAGCAAGACCGTGTGCTAGTAAGAAAATGTTCCACTTGATAACAGATAGGAGAAAATATTTCGTGGAAAATACCTATCTTGGACATTCTCTTTTTGTGTTGCCTTTTTTTTTCTCTCTCTCCATATCTTTTAATTAGAAATGCAATGGTATACCAGTGTATTTGAGAGAGGGGAAAGAAGGGTAAATATTTAGGTTTGGAAGAACTGACCTGAGCAGGGAAGAAGCCTGGCAGGCAGAGAACTCAGCACTGAGTAGCTGAAGATTAACACCAATAGTGAGAAGGAATTGCTTAAATACATAGTTTGTGCTTTTACAGTTACTTAAGCAAGTAGCTTGTTAGGAAAAAATGCGGGACGTTAAGAGGCTTCAGGCCAGGCTCTGCTAGAAGTATTGTAATATTTTAATTTCAGTGCTTAGAAATAGGCTGCTACGTTTTTATGTACCTCATTTTAAGAGGTGCATATTGTTTTCAATTGCTATTGACTCTTTCCTGAAATTTTGGAGGCATATTGAACCACATTTGAGAATATATTTTGAAGGTTCAGCATGTCAGCCTGTCCTTAGAGCACCTTCCCAACTCTTCCTACTTCTGTCATAAGGAGGACTGTGTCCCAGTATGATAACTGTAGGTCTGTGAGACTTGTCCCCTTACATCTTCTAACTGGAAGGACGTGACAGCCCTCCAGAACACTAATTGTAATTCTGCCAGCTCCGGACCACAGTCAGTGCAAGAGACTTTTGTGTGTGACAGCTGAACTAAAAGGAGGTTCTCCATTGCTGCTGCTCTCAGTGACCTTCAGCCTGATGCCTAACCATACTGTGGACAAGAGAGCGAGTTACAGCTCTGTGGCTGATTGGCTCTATGGGAGCTGCTGAGTCCCAGCCTGAACCTGTGATTGATCACCTGAGGCAAGGACTGGGTCAGCCCTGGGAGCACAGGTGAGGGCAATTCAGCTGTGTTACTGGTAGGGGTGGAACTCCTGGACTCCATTTAAGGGCTGAGTGCCACTGGGGAAGGATCTCTTTCTGGAGATCCTTCCTTTGTGGAGCTTTTCATCATGAGTGTAAATCTTTGGATACAGGTGAGCATTCCTTCTCTGTTCCTTTGCCCTCTTGCTATGATACTCTTTTCAGCTGTTCATTTGTGGACTGTACAATGGCTTAGGAGGAGACTGGAATTCAAGACTGGGGAAGGGTGCCGAGGTTCCAAAGTCAGGTGCCTAAGTGCTGGAAATGCTGAGGAGAGATCTTTGAATTTATGGTTACTCGGGTGCCATAACCCCTTCTCTATCAGAAGAGGGATGGCACACTTACTCAGAGCTGTATCTGTATTCATGGGGCACACAGGTAACTGCTTACTGCCATCAGTTTAGCTGTCCAAAGAACTGACTGTTTCCTTGCAAAGCACAGGACGTTCTGAGGTGGCACCTTAGATAACTGGGTCCAGATATGATACGCCCAGCAAGTTAGTCTTCAGTGATCTTTAGTCCTTACTCTTTGTTTAACACAAATAACCAAACAAAAAATGACCTCTACAGCTAATGTGAAATTACCCTTTCCTTGAACATGTTTCCATTACTACACTGCTTGGAGTAGGCAGCAGTAGAAGGAAGTGGTTGATGACAGAAGTGATAGCCCTATATAGAAGTGAAATAAACGAGCAAGTTTTCTTCCTGAAGAATGAAGTTACCAGTTAGCTTTCAGAAACCTCTGGTGTAGAACTAAAAGTAGCACTGTGTGCAGAAAGTTACTTTTTTCAGTAAAAAAAGTCATTCTCATTTATGTTTGCCTGTAAACTTCTGTATTTCAGAGGTTGTCCTGGGTAAGTTGAAGGTTTTTTAACTGACGCTTGTATCTTCCATTTTGCAAAATGAGGTGGTTAGTCTCCTTTGTTGGATGGTCACAGTAGAAACTTTGAAATGAAGAACAGTGCTTACTGGTTTTGTTTCCCAGTTTTTCTTTTATGGAAGCAGCTGAACGTGTGTTTATAAATGCAAAGCTACAAGTAGAATAATTTTCTGAATTTACAAAGCTCCTAATAGTGTCATACTTAACTGTAGCCAACTAGTTTCAGGTTGTAAATTGAGTACTAGCAGAATGATGTGAATGTGGGCCTTTCATTTGAAGAATGTCCTTTAAACAGTGACTTTTTAATAATGGGGAATTGCAGGCTTTAGTCTCTGAACAGAAGGAAGGGCTTGTTCTTTGCTTTTAACTACTGAGCAGTGTTACCTGGTTTGGAAAGGTAGGTTTCTTACTGTGTTTTTTTGTATGCGTATGCTTTCATTCCCACAGATGGCGTTAATTGAACTCGAGGTTTCCCCAGCAGCTGTGTCTGTCTTGAAATGGAGTAAAGGGGGGTTTCTTGGTACTGCAAACTTAGAACCAAGATTTACGTAGGCTACATTTTTCCCTCCCCTTTTTCTGTTCTAGGTGAAATTGTGGTAAATGAAGTCAATTTTGTGAGAAAATGCATCGCAACAGATACAAGTCAGTATGACCTGTGGGGCAAGCTGGTTTGCACTAACTTCAAGATCTCCTTTATTACGGATGACCCAATGCCACTACAGGTTTGTTACTACTTCTGTCACTTCATCATGACAACAAATGCGATAGATAAAATGGATTTTATTAGGGAAAAAATCCTGTCTCATAGCTGATATAGTTATGATCCCTTCTGACATAAAGCAAGCTGAACAATGTGATTAAACTGTCCTGTTCTGAATGCTTTGCTATTCCATTCCTGACTCAAGAATATAAGAACGGAGCAAGTTTGGAGTGGAATTACAGCCTGCTCTATTTAATTCTGTTTATTCAGGCTTCATGGAGAAGTGGTTTTATAAAAGGTGAAGCAGGAATTATATAAAGACTTGTTCCTCCTTGAGGAGGAGAACTGAGAATGTTCCTTTTCTTACACAAGTGTCAATCAGCAAAACCTTTAATGTGTTCAACTTTTATTGGGATTAATGAAAGGAGGACAAAGTAACTGTGAAATAAGTTTTCATTTTAGCTGAGGCAACAGCAAAAAGAAGGAAACCAAGCCTTTGTCAGAGCAGGAGTGTGAAATTCAAAATCTTAATGGGTTTTCTTTGAACAGCACAGCATAAAGTGGTGTTTGGAAATCCAAATTGTGAGCTGTGTGTTATTTTCAGTGGAGTTGTCTTGTATTCCTTTTGCAGTTTTCAAAGGAATGCTGCATTAACTGTGCAGGTATAAAGCTCCAAAAGTACACAGGCACTTTCTTAGGAGCCCTGTGTTTGACGAAAGCTACTTCAAAAACTTACATTTTCAGCATGACAAAAATATGTTTTTGGTCATGAAGCAGTTGGCAAATCTTATTGGCATTTGGCTGGTTATGCCTTTGTTCTAAGGAGCAAAAGTAGATGATGTTACTTGTTCCTCTAAAAGCAAGTGTCAATTTAATAGCCACTGTTTTATGTGCATGTTGGAGGTAAGTAAGTGCACTTAAGGTTGTTATTGTTCAATTGTGTTTTCCTGCTCTGGTTATTCACCAAGTAGGGCTGAGATTCTTACTGTTTTTGTTTTATGTGAAAGGAGTAAGTGGCCACATGCAGTGTACTGTAAGGAAGGTGAACTCAGAACGCTCAGAATCGTCTGTACTGGGGAATTTGTACTAGCATTGAGGAGGGATTCTTAATATTTAAACTCTTCTAGTTCGATTTGTTATAGGAAAATAAAGCTTTGTGTTTGTCCTCATGAAAGCTGAGTTCATATTTTTTGCTTTCTTATGATTTACAATAGAGTAATAGTCAACTACAGTAGCTGTTTATTTTTTTTAAATATATATGTATGAACTTTATGCTTCAGATTACGCTGAATTTTTGCCAGCAAATTTTAAGGCTAAAAATACAAATCATGAGGCTTTTTGCATGCTCCACTGGCTCTTGCAAACTGTTTGGCATGCATTCCCCAACACAAGAAAGCTAGTTTCAGTATTTTCAGTTGCTTGTGAATAGCCAAGGGTGGTACATGTGAGGAAAGTCTAGGTGTGCCTGATTTTCTTTTTATTGTTGTTTCTTCGAAGTTGTGTATCTGCTTGAGAACTGCAGAGCTGCAATTGATGACTATGAGTTCATGTGTTTCAGAAATTCCATTACAAAAATCTTCTTCTTGGTGAACATGATGTTCCTCTGACATGCATTGAGCAGATTGTCACAGGTATGTCTAAAAGAGTTAAAGCCTGTCATCGTGCTTAGTCAGTTCATAGCTGCTAACTGCTGGTTAGGTTATGCACAATCGTTGGCACTTAAATACCCAATTCAAGGCCCGCCAATATTGGTACTAAACATTAGCACAATAACAGATCAGCACTTGTTCTGTGATACGCACCTGTTACTGCTGTACAGATTTTGATAATGTTTTTTTTTTGTTTTTGAGCATGTGAATTTCTTCTGTGTAAATATTGTCTAACTTTTAGCCAGGTTAGTAGCCAGCAGTCCTCAAAATCTACAAATGGCAGTAGTCATCTTAATCTGAAGAAAAAACTATGCTTCATTTTGAAGAAGCAGTTTTTGATCAGGTGGATCCAATAGGCTAAGCTAAAAAGAACATTTTCCATCTTTTAACTGAAGAATTTCACAAGTAATCAATTGTTGTATTGCTGTTACAGCTAGGGCTGCTAAATACTTGTTTTTGACTGTATGCAGTTTAAATAATTGCTTGTAGATAAGCTTTTGTTGCCTGAAGTCATTCAGTAATCCATTTCCACTCTAGAAGGAGTTTTTAATTGCAAAGAAAAGATGAATTTGTGCCTGAGAAGGAACATTGTGAAGAGATGCTGTTTTTGAATGAAGAGATGCTGCTGGCCTTCTGTATGGTCTTGGGCTGGCCACACTTACTGCCCTTTTTCAATAGGCAGCAGTTTCAGAACTGAAAACATCTGTTAATGACTGCGTTCGTTCTATGGAGAGATGCTTATGTTACAGTAGTGCTGCAGCCTTATTGTTTAGCATCTGTTGCAGACACTCACATAATATGTTCTGCTAAATAGGGGGAAAGAGCCAGTCATCTTTGAATGATCTAATAATTATGTCCTCTATTCTATGGCGTGTTTTGCTCCCAGATGGAGACTACTGATAGATTCTATTTTGAAACTTGAGGTCTGACAGGTTGTAGGTTACTCTTTTCTTCATCTTTCCCCAGGGTAAACTTTCAAATAGCCTAACATTGGCAGTGTCATTACAAGAATGATAGAAATTATCTTGTACCCCTTTGTTTGGCTTTTCCATGAAAATTTGAAGTTCTTTAGAGGGGAATAATAGTATTTCTTGTTGCACATTTAAAGGAATGAGTGCAGATTTACCTAAATTCAGTAAAGCATAAGCTTTTCTTAACAAGAATTGAGAGGGCTTTGACTGAAGTTGCAGAAGAGGTTGCTTGAATAGCTGAAGGTATATTGTTTGATTGACTTATATCTAAATATGTGTATGTGTATATACACACATACAGTGGCCAGGTAGGAGTTGTTCTTTTCAGTTATACCCCTTGGCTTTTGAGTTTCTGGTTGAGATTTTCACGTAGGGGTTGGGAAGTGGAAGATGTAGCTGAAAAGAAGCAGAGCATGAGAGATGCGAGAGACTTTCTTGAAAAGAGCTGCTAGTCCACCTGATATGCTCTAAGTAACTGCAGTTAGAGTAAGAGTAAGCTATTGATAACACTGTTCAGTATTATTAGTAGTTGTTAGCTCCTTGTGTAGCCATAAACTCTTCATGCTTTTCTCAGGATAGTAAAGAGCATGGTGCATAGATCCATCCTGCTTTTTGTTTCCTGGAATTAGTGAAGCCTAATCCAGAAGGCACCTGTGACAGCCAGCCGTGGCAGTGAATCATTCAGCAGCTGTGTGCTGCTGTTTTCCCAGTTAACACTAATAAAATCCCTTTGGCTTTAGTGATTATTATTTTAAAAAACTTTAGTTCCTCCATTTGAAGGTGAGTTGCACAGTCTAAGAGACAACCTGTCTATGCATGTCTACGCAGCCTGCCAAATTACTGTACTTAGATTGTTTAGTTTTATGTCAGAAATAAGCAGTTAATCTATGTCTTAACTCAGACACTTCTTTTTATACATCCAAATGGAAGGAGAGGGAAAAAGCATCTCTGCTAGTTAGTGTACATCAGAAGGTCCTTGCAGAATATGCAATTAACTGCCAGGGAACCAAAATTGCTCTTTGAAGTACTGCATATTAATTCCATGTTTGTGAAGTTGTTGATCCATAAAAATAATATGGGTGTGTGGGAAACAGTAATTCGGCCACTTATTTGAAAGAACATTCCTCAACAAGAGCATATATACAAGCTTTACCTAAACTGAGTATTTGAAATGCAGTTCTGGTAGCAATGCTATTGTATCTGTTTGAGCCAGTCTTCTCTTGTGTGCTTAAAAAACACAGTGCAATAACTTTGTCTTTTCTTTACAGTGAATGATACCAAGAGGAAGCAGAAAGTCCTTGGTCCCAACCAGAAACTTAAATTTAATCCAACTGAATTAATCATTTATTGCAAAGATTTTCGAATTGTCAGATTTCGTTTTGATGAAGCAGGTCCTGAAAGTGCAAAAAAGGTAATATGTCATTTTATGAAGCCTTGCTGTGTAGATTGAACTAGCATGCGTGTGTTACATGTAATGTTTTGTTTTAATAGAAGTGCACAGAGGGAGAATTTGAAAATTAGCCTAATTATATTGCAGGAAAGTATCTGGAGTTAGTGTAAAAATGATTAGATAAGAAATGTAATGTGACATATCTGCTGTTTCTTTTCATATGAGATAAATCTGCATTTCTTATCTGATATTGTACTTCTTAAATTCACCAGATGAAGGAACAAGTCTTTCCTTCATGTTGCAATTGTGCAACAGACACTTACATTTCAGTATGGGTTTGATACTTAGGTTTTCCAAAAGTAAAAACTTTAGTGTGTGGAGTGTACTGTTGTAACAGTCAGGAAGATCATGGTGGTGAAATGGTGATGCAGGAGCTGTAGTGACAAAGGGACAAGTGTGATGGAATGGTGTTACAAAGAAAGGTGCTCACCCATGTCTGTAGGTATCAACTCACAGCGAAAACTCCATGAGGGATGGATCTCCAACCAGAGATTCTTCTCTCTGGCAGTCAGCCCTTAAATGGGTTCGAGGAGATGTGCAGCCAGACCCCTCCCCCCCCCCCCTTCCAGTCACAAAGCTGAATTGCCTTCACCTGTGCTCCCAGGTTCTTTCCACAGGTGCTCAATCAGTGGGTCAGGCCAGGACTCAACAGTTAACATAGAATGTTATGTTACATGTAATTCTTGTATGTTTAACACAACAAGTTCTGTGAGCTCTTGAAAAAGTGTGTTCTTTGTAAGTGCTGTCCTGGCTGAGAGCTGCATGCCTTCTGGTGTGGAATTATCTTTCTGTACACTACTAGAAATTGTATTCCCCAATTTAAACACTTGTCATAAGTCTCGGTAACATCCTACAACATTGTTTAACCTGTTAAGGCTCAGATAAGTCTCTCCTACTCAGAGGTGAGCAGTCTACCTAATGCTGGCTCACCAGCTTTCTTGCTGTGGAACGCTGGCGTAGCTGTTGCAGTTACAGCTCTTTTCACCTCTGTTGCACTGCTTTGTGGCCAGGCATGGCATACCAGCCTTTTTGTAAGGAATGACCCAATTTGCACAGAGGTTGAGTTCTCCTTCTCAGTGGGATAAAGTTTGAGCTTAACCCTGTAAATCCTCAGTACCATCTGCCCAGACATAAGTCTGTTTGCATTTATCAACAGAATGATGCCCAATACATTACTTCTCCATGTTCTACTTTTACAGAGATCCATTAGCAGAAACCTAGTTATGAACCATGCTGTTCTTCCTCGTTAGTGTTCTCCATTCCTGCCTGTCTGCTGTTCATAACCTTTCATGTCTGGAAGTCTTTCAGCAGTCAGTTCCCCTTTTACAGCTTCTCTGAAGTCACCCAGGAGTAGTCTATCTGGAATGTCTTTATAGCAACTCTTTTTGATTGGTTGTCACAGTTAAGAGGAGTAATTAGCCTGGAGGAGGGGAAAGAGAGCACAAACTCAGCATCTCATTAACACTTCTTGTGCTGCATTTCCTTATGCAAGAGCAAAATGCAAAACCTTTTTATAAAAACATTTTTTTAATGTGTTTGTAATTACATGGTCAGTGTGATTACTGATAAGAAGAATAGTTTTGGAGATGCAGAAGGATCTGAATCTGTTTATAAGAATAGTAGTGGTGGTGACTAAAAGCATGGCAGTTCCCATTTACAAGTATCAGGCCGTGATCACAAAGAGGAGTGGAAGGAAATGTGTACAGATGTAACTTACAGCTGTGACTCCTGCAGAAGGTGGCTGCAGCTTTTGTGTTTGGGTGCAGTACAGGAGCACACTTTAACTTGAAGGGAGGTAAAGTTCTGTTAACATAATCTAGTATTTTCATAACGATGTTATTCTGTTAACATTCAAATATAATTGCCTGAAGGCAAGTTGTCCTTAGATCTGGTTTCTCTATCAAGGTTTTGCTTCAGATGTTCCAGTGAACTCAAGTAGAATGGTCTTCTGTAGCACATGGGATGGAATTGTCTTGTTCTCTGTGGCATTTAAATGGCATGCTAGCTCCACGTTCTTGAAAGATTTTTATCTGGTTTCTGTTCTGCCTTTCGAACAGCACATGTTACCAAAGCTGTCCTAAAGATTGAAAACAGTCAGGACAGGTGGTCAGACCCCCCCGTGTGACTGAAGTACCTCTTAATATATGTTTACATCCTGCTATTTGTGCATGGAAATTTGATAGCTGTGTGCATGGAAATAGTGGTATCTGCCTAAATTTTGTAAGGAGCACCAAAACCTGGAATGATTGTAAATGGGCTTCTGGAACCCCTTTCTCTACAGGGCTGTGTCCATTAGGTGACCATTAGCTGCTCTCCCCTCTACTGTCAGTTGTGAGCTAGACACAACTGTTTTTCCTCAGAAATGTGATCGTGCTCGTTTTGGAACTAGATATGAAAACATCCTGAGTGTAAAAAAGCAAACAAAAAACCCCACAACCAACCAAGAATGTAGAATTTTGTATATGGGATATATGAATGTTTCCTATGGTTTCTGGTATTAAGAAGCTGCAGAACTCAGCTTTTCTGTTAGAATCACAGTGTGGAGGCTACAATTTAATTATAATCATGTCAGAAGTATTTCTGACTTGCAGGTTTTTGGTTTTTTTATAAAGCTTTTTCTATTTTATAGCTTTAAAATAAGCAGAAGAGAAGATGATGTTACAGTTGGTATTGCAATCTCTGTTCTGTGAAGCAGGAGACCTGCATGCCAGGCCTTTATAAATCATAAATAGCTTTCTCTGGCAGACTTGGCAGAAATGCTGTCAGGTACCCAGATCAGGGCAGGGAGATTTCTCTCTACCCAAGTGAAATCCCAATAGTACAGGTCTGCATCATTGTGTAAATGAAACAAGTTCAAAATGAAACCCTCCTTACTGCAGTATACACTTCAAACTGTGGGAGTATTTGTGCATTCAACTTAATTGGGTACAGTAATAGCTTGAAAGTAAAACACTTGGTAATTATTACTTCAAAGGTGAACTTTAAACGTGTGGAATGGTTGCAAGGAGAATCGGCTGTAACTGTCACGGTTAAGTTGCTTCAAGCAGAGTTTCTGGAATGCAATGGAAATGCTCATCAGCATTCCGTTACATAAATTGGTGTTGACAAAGAGTGTAATCTGTTTCTAAGGAAGTAGCTAGCTCTGCAGAACAGGACATAAGGGAGAATAACCCCTGCTAATTAGGCTGCTTACTGGAATAAAGAGTATTCTGATTGGGGTCGTAAATGGGGGAAGAAATGATCCAAATTTGAAAGCAGTCAGAGCAGATTTGGACAATCTATTTAATGACATAAATATATGTAAATAAGTATGAGGGTAGTGCTGGGAGATCTTCCCAAGTTCTTCTTTCTCAAATTGAAGCAGAAATAAAGTGGGAGAACGCATCAGATTTAGATGAATTAACTTACTAAGGTGCCAGATATTATGGAGGAGTATAAAAACTCATTCCTTCGATGTACCTTAATAAACACACGCCCAGCATTAGCTGCAGCCAACTCGTGCTAATGGAATACTGCCACAGCGTTAACCAGTCAGGTAAATATTTCCTTTCTTATTTTTATCCATGGATATTTGGGAAATAGGAGTTAAGAAATGACTGAGGGGTGGAACCTTGCATTCCTCACCACGTAGCAGTTGGTTTCCATTTTGTCTCTAAAATAACTGTAGGATCTCCACAGGAAGGAAAGCCAGCTGGGTGTGGGAGGAAGCGGAGGATGGGGAAGCAAGTTGGGGAAGTCTGAAGTTAGGCAATGTGGAAGCAGCAGCATTTCACCTTCTTTAAAGGAAAAGGAATAATTTTATGTTAGAAATCACAGCAGGTCAAATTGGAAAGACCTGCTGATTTCCAGTCTCTGCAATACCTGACACTAGACTAAGATATAAAAATATTTAAGAAGTTGAAGCTTTACGTCTGTTCTGTGATAGAAAGTGTGCTGCCTTACCACACAAATGAGTCTTGGCCATGTACCAGAGTGGCACACACCCTGTAATCTCCTGTTTCCTAAGTACGTATCCATTTTTGGACTCCCTTTCTCTTCTAGAGCTCCCTCAACTCTTTTCCTTCAGGAAACTTTTCAAAACATGTAGGAGATGAGTTTCAGAAACACAAGCTTGATCAAAACAGAATGCAAACTGTCCCAAGTCTTGTTTCCCATGCAGTGGCAGCTGTCCTTCATACATGTCATAACATTTGGGATAAAGTGGTGCCATTTTTTCCTAATGATTGCAAGGAATAATGTGAAACTGATGAGAGTTTTGAACAAATCATCCTGACCCTTCCTAAGGTCTTCCTCCTCCTTCACCCCCCAAACTTCTCTATTATCTTCCAGTTGTACTGATTCTAGAATGTAATATCTTGAATCTGGGAATACATGAGAAAACTGGGACTACATGAGAAAACTTTTATGTTCTTACGGTTTTTGGAGAGATGAAGAAAGCTTTTTTTTTTTTCTTTTCTTCCCCCAAAGTAAGTTCATCTAGTGGTAGTTTAAACATAGCAGTGCATTTTAGTATTTGACAATATTTAATGTCTGAAGGCTTGGGTAACCTGTGCTGAGACTTCAAACCTGTTTGTGCAAATGAGGGTTCTGATATGTATTATTTCAGCTTCTGGAGTTGTTTTACTATTTCCTCTTATGTAGAGTACTTGTATACAAACCAAATTAATGCATTGCTGCTACTGGAACTCCTACAGAATGGAAAGAAAGCAGTGCTTGGGGTTAGGCAGTGGGTAATTTAGCAGCTAGGAGAACGTGCGTGACGGCTGGGGCTGAAGGGTCTTTGAGCTGAAAGCTGCTTGTTCCAAGAAGACTTGCTGCCTGGAAAATCAGAAAGTGTTTCTGTGGGACTTGATCTAGTCCTGGTTGCATGAGTTTCCATTACAGATGTCTATTGGGAATGGGAACTGCTGTAGTAAGGAGAAATAGTGTGCTTTCCGTGGGTTCATCAGTCGGTGTGTTGTAAGGAAAGAGGCGAAATGCAGCGCTGTGCTAACAGAACACATCTTCAGTGTGAGTGCTCAGAATTTTTTTCCAAAGAGCATTGACGATGCTTTGAAGCTCCTCTTACTGGTAAAACTTCTGTTAAGGAAGGAAAGCCTTGCCCTGCAAGCATCGCTTATTTTGTGCAGCAAGGGGTTGTGCAGAGGGCGCTGACATGGGGAAATGGCCTTTGTGCAGTGAAATAATTAAACCCATTGTGTTTACTGTTCTTAATAAATGAACTTTCCAGCAGGCAGCCTATTCTCTTGTTTGACTGAGCCTAAATATCTTCAGCTTTACACAATTTTAAATTGGCAAAAATACCAAACATTTTTCAGTTTGATATGAGAACATTTCCTGTAAAACATGTTTGTCTTCCCATTTAAGAGCTTTCTGCTTATGGTAATAATCTGTTGAGATCTGTGGAATTTACTTGTCCTTTGAAACTTGCAGACAATAAAACTACTATGCAAGTTTAGGAAGGGAAAGAAAATGAGCATGTCTTTAATGTTGCTTAGTGTATAATACTCATTTTTTTTTCTAAGATGTAAAGTGAGAGCTGAGTAATTTTATTTTTTTATGCAACAGAAATGGGGTTTTGAACCTCAGCTGTAATGCACAGGTGGGCTGTTTCACTCACGCCGTAGCTGGGCAAGCACTGTCTGGACACCTAAGGAAAGGAAAGTTTTTTAGCAGCTGGGCTCAAGAGCACAGCTATGGCCTCATGTTTGCTGTGCAGCAGATCTCAGTGCTCATCTCCCCTCAGCTGAGCCCTCTTAACATGCCACACATGCTTTCTTTTTCAAAGACAGAGTTCTTAGATTCTGCCTTTAAAAATAGTTTTTACTGTATTTCTGTTGTATTATTTGGCAGCACAGTGGAATCCTTTTATGCCTTTCAGTTCATCTTCAAGCCTTTGAAACCTGATCAGCGTAGCAAAAGGCTTTCATCCTTCATGCCCGTAAATGAAGATTGTGAGTGGCTCTAACAGCAGTTGCTCTAATGAAAAGTTAATGAAAACAATGGAAGTCAGAATGTAGATGTATGCGGATTTCCATTTTGCTTCATTGTTACTGATGGGCAAAAGCACTCTGTTAGAAAATGCCAATGTTACAGAATTGCTGTTGCCTTATTAGAGTTCTTCAGCTTTTTAAATTACAAGGTGTATTAAAACATGCAAGGCTTCTGATTACTTCTTGATAGTTATTAATGGCTTTACCAAATCCTGGAAATTGGCTAATAAGTGGCTGTGCATTTCCCAGTAGTCCATTTCCCTGTAACACTTCCACTGTTCCTTTCTCAGGAATGTCCTGTCCTCCGTTTTGTACTGCAGCTCTGTCGTAAAACTGAAAGTGGTGGGGAGAAAAGGCAAAACGACTGTTCTTGTAAAGCTCAATAGGAGTTTTTTTGTTGGCGAATCTGTGGGGAAAAAAAATTCAGCTGTAGTTAGTCTGCAGTCATTACTGGCCTTATAAATTGTAGGCAATGTACCCATCAAAAGCCAACATCAATACAAAAACATAGCAAAGGTTCCATAATGCTGCTTACATGTTGCATGCCAACTAGTAGACGTACAGAAGCTTTCACCATGCAGAACTTCGCACAGATGAGCCTGGATGCTTTTCCCATTGCACAGTGATGCCAGTAGTAGTATTCTTTCAGTTGGTATACTATATATAAAATTATATGTATAAATATTTTTCTTTTATATGCTTCAGAATAAGACAACTTTTCTTCACTAACAGAACAAAATTTCTTGGAAGCACAGAAACTTGTTCAAAATTAATGTCTGAGATGGCTTAGCAGCGAATAAATGGTGCTCGTGGTGCCAGGTATAAAAGTCACAGAGTTGAAAGGAAGGAAGCAAAAGGAGACATGAAGTTTTAGGTGGTGATAGTATGAACTTAGACTGCATGGCATCTTTGTCCTAAGTAAAAATTTGAGCATATTGAGTTTCTGTATCTGAACATAGAGATTTGTAGAGTTTTGTATTTTATAACCTCTTTATCTTTAGAGGTGAGGCAGGTACGTTCTAGTAGAATGAACAAATCCTGAGGGAAGGAGGCAAAGCTAAAGGCTCAAAATCAAATCCTGAAATGTAAAGAATAACAGCACAAAACTGTACTTGAAAGGTTTTTTTTCTTCCTGAGTTCAATTTTTGCATTACTTTTTTTCAAGTCCTTTTATTTATTGGTGGTTTTACCACCTATAAAGCAACAACAGATAGCAAAATTTGGCTGCTTGATACCCAGTATCTAATCTTAAACAGTCTGTTGCATTCTTAGTTTTAACAGGACGAGTTCTAATAAAAAGGACCATGTGTTTGGAGAGAAACCAAATTGCTTATATGCCGGTCCTGAGCTATTAGGAAGAACGTGAAAGCTTAGACAAGTCTCCTCGTGCCTCAGGTTGATCTCTGCAGTTGTGAGGATGCACCTCTTATTTGAAATCTCTGATGAATTTCTCTTCCCAGAGCAGGGGCTGTGACTCAGCCTGGTCAAACCTGATTGCTGTGTTGGATTGTCAGAGATGGAGTTGGAGCTTGTGAAGCCTGCGGGCAGCTAGAAGTGCTGGGCGGGTTCCTTTTTGAATGAAAATGAGCCATCTGAGTCTGAAGTTATATGGGCTGGGCCAGATTTAGCGAGGCTGACATGTTGATATGTTTCAGTTGGCTCCTGCTTCAGTTCTCACAGCTGAGGAGTGGGAAGAATTGCAGTTCCCCCACCCTTGACAAACAGGACTAACATGAAAATTCTGTTTTTACTGAGTTTGGAGATTGGTGGAGAAACTTCAGCCTCTCATTCAACTGGTAAACTACAAACATCAAAAGCATCTCCCACTGTGAATTATTCATTTGCAAGTGGCATAGGGAGAAAAGCTGTTCTTTATTACCAAATAATTTGCTTTTTACTTACATTCATCAGTACTTTTCACAATTTTGAAACACAATAAAGTGTGAAATTAGCATAGGTCCTAGAAGTCTTCAAGCAACCTCTTGTTTTCCCTTCAAATCGGTATGGAAGTAGGCCTGAGGCCTGGTTTTAGCTTTTGCTCTGCAAAGTTAGTGCTATCATAATCATGGGCAATAAATTCTATGTAGATAAGTATTACTAATAACTGTTTCTGTCCTAGGTGTGCCTTGCAATAGCTCATTATTCTCAGCCAACGGATCTTCAGCTTCTCTTTGCATTCGAGTATGTTGGGGAAATATATCATAACCCAGGTATGTATGAAAATATTTTCATTATTCTACAATGTGTAAGTTTACTAAGGCTTCTATCCAGAAACAACAGCAAAAAGCATTTGAGGCTTCCTCGGGGTAATTAAAGTGGCCTGTCCTGCAGCCAACCTCTTACTCTCAGATGCAAGTCAGTTGCCATGATTGATGTTAAGTACCAAAATCAAAAGAAATATATTTCTTGTGTGAAACAAAGCTACCGATGTCAGCATGAATACTCATATTTCCAGTTCACACTTTGGTCCTCCTATCAGCATATGGGTCTTTACTGGTACTCTAGGTGCCTAGCTAATCTCCCATCAGGCAGGCTCATTCAGCTGCCCTTCTTTTGGGAATAAGTTTCTCTTCTGGTGGTATTGCAGGAGGATTTGTGCAGCTTGGGACTCCATACCTTCTTTCCTAGAGGCTTACTAGGCAGTTCTTCCCACCCAAAACCTCCACCACCCCTGCTGAGTTGGAGCACACCCTCTCTGCTCAAGGCCAATCTCCAACTGAACCCTGTCAGTTAGGTAAGCCTGAAAAAGATGCCTTTGGAACTTGGTTTCTAGTGTAATGCTGTGCGGTCACTGCTTAGTGTTCCCCAGCCAATACACAGCTGAAAACGATCAGTTCTAGCACTACAAGCCTCCAAATAGCAGAAGTACCGTCAGCGTAGTTCTGTGGTACTGAAATATTTGCTCAGCAGCTGAGATTAGAAAGCGCTGATCTGCCTGTCACAAAATTTGAATGCTGTGGAACTGTAGGCTCAGACATTCAAATTTGTACAAAAATGGACATTTTCCATGCAGGTGCCTACATGACCGCCGTGTGCATGCACAAGAATGAATGTGCATGTGATTATATTGCACGCATAATGACATATTTTCTTACCTGGTAAATCTTGGGTGGCTGTTAAGGTTGTGTAATGAGGTACTAGGGAGGAAGTCGTGTTGCAGAAAAGGGGACAATGAACTGTTAAAGCAGAGCATGAACAAAATAGTGATCTGCCACAAAGTTGCCTTAATTTTGTTCTTAAACTTCGATTTGCAGTATAGGGAAAAAACAAATAGGGGAACAATTACAAGAGGTGGGTAAAATACGTTATTCCTATGAAGCAGCAGATCAGAATGGCAGAAACTGGTTGTAGTTGCTGGAGGAAAAAGCTTGAAATACTTGGCGGTGATTGTTACTGTTATGAACTGAAAGATCTCCACATGTTAAAGTGACCCCTGGTTTGTTTGTGGCATGGATCTGTGGCTGTGCTCCTACCGTTACAGCGCTGTGTTCTGTGACTGCTCTCAGCAGTCCTGGTACAGCGGGATTTGAAATGCTGTCATTATGCTGCTAGGGGAACATAAAGAGCCTGCGTTGCCCTGGTGTACCTGAACGTCGTCTTATCCTAGAATATGTTTGATAATTAACCGTTGTTAAACAGTGAAATTCTAACATGAACTGCCTGGTAATTACAACATTCCTCTGCGTACTACGTTTGGACAACTCCTTCATCCTGAGTTCTGTGTAGTTTTCTTCTGAAAGAATGAAATTATAAAAAGTAGTCTGAGTGCTCAAGTTGATAGATAGCAGAAGGTAGAAGATACAGTCACTGAAAGGACAGTAGAGTGACTTCTGCTTCACTTGGGCAGAGTTTGCATCGTTCCTTCCATCTTTACGATGCTTACAAGGAGTTTTCCTGGTGGAAAAGTCTCAGCTTCTTTCACCTTCATTTAATAACTTTACCAAGTACTGAGGAACAGAGTGCAGTCTCCTTTGACACAGCTGACTGCATCCTTGGCACCTAAAGAATGACCAGCAAAGAGAATTTTCTGTAATAGTAGCAGGGCATATCATTTTGGTCCCTACCCACAAAGTGATGGGTCAGGTGTGCATATATATGTGTATGTACATATGTACCATATTTAAAAATTAAAATTAAAAAACATTATCAAACAGTTTTTAGCCTAGCCTTCACTTGTTTTTTTCTTTTTATTAATACAGATGGTAACTTGTAAGGAAAAACTGTTGAAATTGTGTACCAAGTATTTTACTTCATACAGAAGACAGTTAATTAAAGGGTAGTGTGTAAAGGTTAGATGCTTCTAAAACATCTGTGACTTCGGCATGTTGAAGAGAGACATCTTGTCACTTAAGATAAGCTCTGCTGCTGACCATTAGCATGTTCTGCCTTCTAGCAAGCAGCACAACACACCAGCTTTATGTCACTTCTCTGTTGACATCACAGGAAAAAAATGCATTTGCATCTTAGCCGTCATTGAGCCACAGATCTGTGTTCATGCAAAGATAGGTAAAGCTGGTACTGGTATTTGTCTTGTAATTAGGAAGATAAATGTCTTTTTTTTAATGTGCATTGATGAATTTTCTTTTCCTAGCAAAGAAGGTGAATGGAGTAGACCCAGGAGGCGGTGGAGGCAGTGGTGGTGGCATCAGCAGTGCCAGTGGTCAGCAGACACCTTTGTTTGAAACTTACTCTGATTGGGATAGAGAAATCAAAAGGACGGGTGCATCAGAGTGGAGAGTTTGTTCAGTCAATGAAGGTTATATGATATCTACTTGGTAAGTTTTTCTTATAATGCAAGTAAGCATAGAAGCAAATGAGGCAATTCTGCTGTCTTTTCTCTCTGACTAAGTCTCATTCCCACCCAACTCTAATTTAACTCCTCACTGTGCTCCCTGCAGAGAGCCCTTAGCTGGAAGATCCTGCAGATGCTGTCTTTGTAGGAATGCTGTATTTTCAGAACGTATTGGATCTGGCATCTATTTCTTTCATGCTCTTGTGCCTCTGACATTTGCATGTTTGTAAGCAAATGCACCGGAGCCATAGATGTAGGAGATGCACATGACAACTAGTTAGCCCTGTGATATTAACGTCTGACGCTTTAGAGTTGAACAGAGCTGATAAGACAGCACTGCAACAAAAGAAAAGCTGATAAAATACTTAGGGAAAAGTAACTTTTTGTATTGTGTTTGTTTCCCAAGCCTTCCAGAATATTTTGTGGTCCCTTCTTCCTTAGCAGATCAAGACCTTAAGCTCTACTCCCACTCTTTTATTGGGAGACGAATGCCAGTAAGTAAAGTCTTCATTCTTTATTTACGCAACATTAAATAGAAGATATGTATGCCAGTTAACATAGCTTAGAGAACATTAAGAAAAAAATGCACAGAATAACACAAACATGCTTTGTTGTTGTTTCGTGTTTTTCGTCTATTAGTTATGGTCCTGGAATCATCCCAACGGGAGTGCCCTTGTAAGAATGGCCAACATCAAGGATGTGCTGCAACAAAGAAGAATTGATCAAAGGTAAACAATTAGTTGATGTTATTCTTTAACCAGATACAGCATAAAGTGTGTGGCAATGGTGTGTAACGTAGCGCAGCGCTCTGTAGTGCAGAGCATATTTTTTCTTAATGTTACAGTGCAAAATCTTTTGAGAAATGGTCTTCTGAGTATAGTCCAGGCATGTGTTCTGTTCAAGGTCCGGTTCAGCTGGAAAGCTGAATAATTTATTGAGTTTAATGGCTGTGTATTTTTTAATTGCCAGTCTTCCAGCCAATAGAATTCACTGTTAGAAGGATTGGATCAGTATTGGTGATACTGCAGTAAAACTTAAGTTTATGTAGAATTTCTTACCTGCTTCAGAGAACCACAGCAAAAGTGATTTGTTTTATAGCATTTACTGTTCTCTAGATGCAATGCCACAATACACACAGCTGCTTGTTTTAGGTGTTGCACTGCGTGTGTTATGCTGGGGCTTTGAGTTCCATTTTGAAACCCTGTCAGATTTCCTGGCTTTATATACTTGATGCATGTTGTGTTTGTTTGGCACAGGTAAGTCTTACTAAAAATGGCGAAAAATGAAACATTGTGTAGAGCTGCTTGTTTAACCTGCAGCTCTGCCTCAGATTTTCACTTACCAAAGTGTTTTAAAGTTCAACCCTTCCATTTTTGCTTTGTAGCTTCAGGTATCGAAAATATTTGAGCCAGCAGCTTTGTAGCAGGAGCAAAGCATGTCCTAAAGATAAACTGGAACTTGTTCTTTCTTTTTTAACAAAGCATGTGTTTTACATGTTTTTGCTGTTTTGCAGTTTGGCATGTTTCTTAAGTTCTCTCTCTCTCTGTCTCTCTCTGTCTCTCTCTGTCTCTCTCTGTCTCTCT